GTTGCTTCCACAGCTTAGCTATTGTGAATTGTGCTGCAATAAACATTGATGTGCTGTGCCCTCTAGTATGCTGTTTTTAAGTCTTTTGGGTATAGACCGAGGACTGGGATAGCTGGGTCAAATGGTGGTTCCATTCCCAGTTTTCCAAGGAATCTCCATACTGCTTTCCATACTGGCTGCACCATTTTGCAGTCCACCAGCAACGTACGAGTGTGCCTTTTCCCCAACATCCTCACCAACATTTATTCTTGTTTGTATTCTTAATAGCTGCCATTCTGATTAGAGTGAGATGAAAAAGAGTAGTTTTGATTTGCATTTCTCTAATTGCTAGAGATGTTGAACATTTTTTCATATATTTGTTGATTGATTGTATATCACCTTCTGAGAAGTAACTGTTCAGTCCCTTGGCCCATTTGTTGATTGGGTTATTATTTTTTTGTTTGTTTTTGGTGTTTAGCTTTTTGAGTTCTTTATATACCCTAAAGACTAGTGCTCTATCTGATATACAAGTAGTAAAAATTTGCTCCCAAGCTGTAGGCTCTCCATTCACCTCACTGATTGTTTCTTTTGCTAAGACAGTTTCATGATCTATAGAGTGAAGGAAATAGAGTGAAGGAAAAAAAATTGAGAAGCCAGTCAGGAAACTTTTTTTCCTTTTTTACTGATGATTGAACCCATGGCAATCTACCACCGAGCTACATCCTCAGCTCTTTTTATTCTGAGACAAGTCTTGCTAAATTGCTGAGGCTGGCCTTGAACTTATGATCTTGATGCTTAGAGTTGCTGGACTACAGGCCTGTGCCATAGCACCTGGCTTATAACTTTTTCATTAATTTTTTAAAAATATAGATGGACACAATACCTTTATTTTATTTATTTATTTATTTTAATGTGGTGCTCAGGATTAAACCCAGTGCCTCACATGTAAGGCAAGTGCTCTATCACTGAACTACAATCCCAGCCCCTTATGTTTAACTTTTTGAGGATGCACCAAACTGTTTTCTATAGTGGCAATCATCAGCAATGTATGAGAGTTCCAATTTCTCTACATCCTCACCAATGGTTGTTATTTTCAACTATGATTGTGTTTTTTATTATAGCCATCCAAGTAGGTATGAAATGGTATAGTCAATAATCTTTTGACAAAGGAAAAATGAAAATTTTTACAAGCCTGAATAAACCTTCATTAAAGCTAGGCACAGCAGTACACACCTATAATCCCAGTAACTTGGTGGGCTGAGGTAGCAAAATCTGAAGTTTGAGGCCAGCTCAGCAACTTAGTGAGACCGTCTCAAAATGAAAAATGAAAAGGGCCAGGGATATCTAGAGATAGAGTGCTCCTGGGTTAAATCCCCAGTACACAAATACAAAATAAATATTCAAGAAAATGTAAAATGCAAATTTTCTTTTGACATATTTTCTTGAAGGTGTGTTAATCTCTGAAAATATATAAACATGTGCTTTCCCTAGCAATAATACAAAATATAAAATTGAGACCTAAGGTGAAGTTTGAGTAGATGAAGAGTGCTACAGAACTCTTTCTGACCAAAGAAGAGCACTGACTTCTTGCCCATTATTATTTCCTAACTCAAATATAAAAATGATAAATATTTAATATCCTAGCCCAAAATAAGGTAAGCACAGAAATAATGAAATAAGGTACTACCACCTTTAATATTTCACATTACACTCTTTGATTTCAGGGATTACAGCAATGGATTCTTTGACAATAAACAGAGATTGGAATAGGTGACATAGTTAAATTAAAAACCCATGGCTCTGCTGTACAATATATAAGTATACAGAATATCCCACAAGAGCCAAAATAGCTATTCTTAAAGGCATGGCTTGCCTTTAACAGAAATATATGTAAACTAGGAAAGACAATCTACAAGTGTATCTTGATTAAAAGAGGCCTTGCCAATCAATACTAGGATTGTTTGACAACCTGGTTTTATGCACCCGGGGAATGAATCATGGCAAGATGAAGGGTGGGTGAGGTCAGGAGTATAGATTGAGAAAGGAGGGGAAGAAAACTGCCTCAACTGCCTTTTCAGGAAGGTAAGTTTTAAGAAAGAATACATGTAGATGAGAAATGATAATTGATTCCTTTTGAAATTTCATTTTCCACATATTCCCTGGAAAATCTTCCTGTGTTCATTCTCCAATTTGAAAACTGCTGAAATATGTAATGCTAGCTCTTCATCCCTTTAATCCTCAGTGATTGCCCATCACTGATGGCCTATAAATCCCTACAACTCTCATGGTCTGTTCTTCATTTAGGAATCAGTTTCTCCTTAAGTGACTACAAAGCAATCAGCTTTATTTTCATGTGTGGCTGCTGGAATTTATCTCATTTTATACTACTGCACTCATACTTCATGCCAGGTACAATAGCATTTCAGGAAAAGAGGGTAATGAAAGTTTTAAACCATTAAGAATAAGAATTTTGATTTTTTAAAAAAGGAGGAATACATTTTAGGGAAGAGCATATGTTTATTAGGCTATAAGTTCAGCTGTTGTAACCAAAATTGTTTAAACAAGCCCCTTTGGCCTTCTTTCCCTTCCTTAACATGCTTACCTTGTTCTCACCTGAGGGTTGTTGTACCTGTTCTTCTGCTGGAATGCTTTTCACCAGGTCTTTCCTGACTGGCTCCTGCTTGTCATTCAGAACTCACCAGGTCATCTCCTCAGGAAGGCTTTCTTTGACCATGCAAAAGTAGCCACCCAGTCATATTTTACCACATAATAGTGCTTGTCTTAGCCTGCATGAAGCCCTAAGTCCCATTCCCAGCACAGCCAACAACAACAACAAAAAAGTATGCAGAAAGGAATGGGGTGCCAATGAGGAAACCAGGTTTGACATGGCAAAGTTCCTCAAGGTGGGGGGGTAGAGACAGATAAGAAGCATCAAATCTTTATGAATGTCCCACCTAAGTGGTTAGAGAAGTGTAAAAGACCTTATAAGGAATCTAAAAGGTTGAATAGAGTGGTTCCTGAGGATAGGAAAAAGTTTCAGTGAAGGATGGGTCAACGGGGAGCAAGTGTTCTCTCTCAGGAAAAATGGGAATAAGAAAAAGGCAATTGAATCTAGAAAGATTATTTGTGACCACTGAATAAAGGAGTGAAAATGTAAAGCTTAAGGAAAGGACACAGTATGTATAGGTCATTGCTGGAGGAATTTGGCAGTAAAGGGAATTTGTAAATACTCTAGTGGGATTGAATGGGTTTCTTTTTGTGAGACCTATTCATGTCTTAAGGGAAATGAGCTATAGAACAGAGAAGACTGAACCGTGCTGTAGCTCGAAATTAATGGACCTCTAGGGAGTGCAAGAGTCACCTTCTGGGACTTTGAAACTCAGAAGTTACATGCAAAATTTTGTGCACGCATCAGGGGTTATAGATTTGTAGCGTTACCATTTTCCAAAAGGTGGTGACCCAAAGGTTACTAACCTCTACTGTACACGGAAGAGAAAAGGCGAGTTGCGGGGGCGAGGGGGGCGCCCAGAGAAACCTAAGCTTTAAGAGAAAATGGAAAACCTCTTCCTGATCTAAGGAAATGCTATAAACAGATGGAAGGTTAGTTCATAATTACTTCATCATCTCATTAAAATAGGTAGTAAAGACTGAGCTGGAAACTGGGGAAACTTGTGCAAACACGCTCCAGCAAAGGAATACTGAGGAAGCCGGGCAGACGGAGTGAAAACGGGGCCTGCTGAAGTCTAGAGTTGTTTCCTTGCGCCTTAGTGCAGCACAAGCCTCTGTGCAACTTCTTGGCGCTGGAGTAGTCCTGAGGGCTGGGCATCACTAACTTCGTTCTACAACCAGTACACGCCACTCTCAAGACTAGCCGACCCCGACTGGGAGCCAGAGCAGTCTTATCACAAAAGGCAATCAACACGGTCCCTGAGGTTTGTCAGTGAGTCAGCTCGAGGGCAAGAAGCTGATGTTTCAGACTCGGTACAAGCTGTATGTCCGAACTTCCCCATAATTGCCATACTTTCTTTGCTTTAAACGCTGCCTCCAGTCGACCTCTCCACCTGTCATCATCTCTGAATCATCCCGCCCTATTTCGACATCTCCTTCCCCAGCCTTCGGCTCTCGGCCTGGCGCAGAGCCCAGCCACTGCCGAGGCCCTGGAGAATTCATTCATTCAACCACTGCAGGGTTTACTGAGACTCTGTGTGTAAGGCTCAGTGCTAGAGATTGGGGTCTCGGACCCAACGGGTTATCCAGACCCTTCACCCCCTTGGCCGGACAGTCCAGAATCGACCCAGGCCTAACGGGCCGCCGCGGTCTTCCCTGGCAAGTGGGGAGGGCCCCTGCCCACATGTCGCAATAACTTCCCAGACGAGCACGCCGGCACTGCCAGGGTGATGCAGGGTACAGGCTGGCTCCGCCTCCCGCCCTCCACAAGATCCCGCGGGAACAGAGCTCTCGGTGCCGGGAATGCACGTCTAGGAGCTGCGCGTCTGGGCACTCGGGTCGCGCGCTCGAGGGCCTACCCTAACGGCACCCGTCAGCGGTTGGACCTTGAAGGCCTGGCACCGCCCCCACCCTACGTTCCCGCCCGCAGTGCTTGCAGCCCCTTAGGTGCCAGTCTGGGCCCCAAAGTCGGTCCCTATCCTCTCCCAGCGCTTCGCTCTCTTTCTTTAGCCAATCGGAGACAGAAGTGGTGCGAGCCAATGGCCACAGCCAAAGTATCTAGAGTGGTGGAGCCTATCAAAGTTCTACCTTAAGTTTCTCCCGCCCCTGAAAAGCCAGAGGCGGGCTGATCTTACATGTCGGCCAATCAGTGACCAATAAACAAGAAGCTTCCAAGATCAAAGGGGAAGGGGTGGGATCTAGGCGGCAGCAACGCCTCGGGGAAGAGGAATGACAGGCAACTTCGCGAATACCGCAGACATATTTCCCCTACGTGAGAAAGGGGTGGGGCTAGGGTGGCGCCTTCACCAATGGTTGGTTGGGGGGCGTATCCGCGGGCCAAGCGGGAGCCGGAGGCCCGGGGCTCTCTGGGCCGCGCCTGAGGCGGAGGCAACGGGGCCGGGGGGCGGCGGCAGTAGTGGCGGCAGCGGCGTCGGTGTGCGCCGCGGCTGGCCCGGGTGGATGGAGTTGGAGGGGCGGAGTGCAGGCGGTGTGGCGGGGGGGCCGGCGGCTGGGCCCGGGCGGAGCCCCGGGGAGTCTGCACTGCTGGACGGGTGGCTGCAGCGGGGCGTGGGACGGGGGGCCGGCGGTGGGGAGGCCGGGGCCTGCAGGCCCCCAGTACGGCAGGATCCGGACTCCGGCCCGGACTACGAGGCGCTGCCGGCTGGAGCCACTGTCACCACGCACATGGTGGCGGGCGCCGTGGCAGGGATCCTGGAGCATTGCGTGATGTACCCCATCGACTGCGTCAAGGTGAGACCTGGACCGGGCTCGGAACCCGACCTGGGGCTGACCCACCTTAGTTCCGTCTAGAGCCAGGATCCTAGCTGAGAGCTGGAGTCGACGGGGTTCCTTCTTGGCTCCAGGCACTTCACACGATTCGAACCGGTACTCCGTGCAAGCAAGGTCCGGGCTGGGAGTTGAGCCCACTCAGGAGCCAGGACTTATTTCTAGCCGTCAGTGAGATCTGAATCGGGACTCATGATCAAAAATCTGTCAGCCAAAGTCGGAGATCCCACCTGGGACTAAACAGGAATAGGGTGGGATTGGGGATCCCGAAGCACAGGTAAGTGCTACTAACTCGATTAAGGTGAAGCCAACTGGCGTGAATCAGATGGTTAACTGGACCTGATGGCTTGAGATGTTCTTCGGGTAGGTGCTTTTACCAGCTTCGTGCTGTGTCTTTCCTTAGAAGTGACTAGGCAGGAACCGGAATCTGGGATCTCTCAGTTAGATAAAGGACGTATTAAATCTTATCCCGTGAGTGATTGGAAGTCGTTGTGCAGTCAGAAGGCAGAGTTTCAGACTGAAAGTAATATGGGAAAGATCGTGTTCAGGAAAAGGTTTCGATTTCTCTATGAAGCAAGCATGATATCCCACCCATTTCCTGAACATGAAAATTGAACTGGGATTAAGATTGTGTATGTGCAGGGAGCACATCAGCCCCCACACAAGAGAGGAAACTTAGTGTATTTCTTTGGGCGCCTGAAGTTGACAAAAAGGGGAAAGTTGCCTAGAAGGGAAGTGTGACGGTATTAGAAAGTAGATGTAAGTGTGAAGAACATGGAACAAGATCGACACAATTAGTGTGAAAGTAAAACTAATTACATCCACAACCAAGCAGGACGATTAATGGATCCAGAAGTGAGGTCCTTCTGATGAAAGCTGAGTCTCCCTTCTGAAGATGGGAAAGATTGTTTTTACAGTTTTTATTCTCCACCCTTAGTAAAGATGCCAACCACTAAACTTGAGGTCTAAATTGAGGGGGAAGTAAATCCGAGGAGACTGTTGAAAAAAATATGATCGAGCCTTGTGCTTCCTTTACATGTTAAGGATAATAGTCAACAATATCCTGGCAGTTCTTTGTATGTTTTCTCCTCAAATTAGGAAAATGTTGTGTATTCAAAAGGAGGAGAGTGTCAATTTGGGCAATGCAAAGCAACCCTTTTCTGCTTGCTGCTGATTCCAGTTACCATTTCATGTTTTCATGGTAATATGGATGAAGAAATAGGGAAAGAGCTCATGAAGCTTTGTGAATGACACTGAGTTGGTTCTAGTGCATTGCAGGGTTAACTCCTAACAAGGACCATAGCCACTGAAAATGTGGTTAAATGCACTTAACATGATTAGAATTTTAAATGCCCTTGTGGATTGAGAGAAATAAACCAGTAATTCCATGAGAAAGAAATATAACCATTGAAATGTAAAATGAATAAATACTAATAAAAAAGATCCAACATTTATGTAGTGGACTCTAGGTTGAATGGGAGTTGACAAAAAGGGGAAAGTTGGATATGCTACATATCCAAAAGTTAATATGATCTGGCTGTAGAGTAACCTCATTCTACTCAATCATGAGTAGAGTGCAGGATTTATGGTGCTATTTCAGGATGAGTATCAAATGGGAAACAGATAAGTGAAAGCAATGAAAATTATTTAATGGCTTGAAAAATACAGTGTAATAATGTGACAAAAATATTACTACAGCTTTCATCGTTATGCCATTACAACATAATGGGAGACTGTCTCCTTACACTGTATATTTTCATAATGCTATTGTTGCTTTGAACATTTTATAAATTCCCCTGTTAGAAATGCCTCCAGAATCTTTGTATGCATATCCTTAAAGATGGAAAATCTTTTTTCTATACACACACACACACACATACACATCTCAAAAGACTGATTTAGGGGCTGGGGCTGTAGCTCAGTGGCAGAGCACTTGCCTAGTGTGTGTGAGGCACTGAGTTTGATCCTTAGCACCACATGAAAATAAATAAAGGCATTCTGTCCATACACAACTACAGTTTTTTAAAATAATTGATTTAGTAGAAACAGAGACCACTCAAAATCATATACTATGAATAGGTGAGAACTCACAATGGGAAGTACCTCTTGGGGTACTTAAAGATTAGGTGGAGCTGGAAAGCCAGGAGATTGATTTACTCCTTGAGACCTGTGTACCCACTGAAGGAATAGTTGTGAAAGAGGAGTTCGAGAAACGCTTTGCATAACCACAGCAATACTGGAATAAGTCATTTCTAGCCTTCCATGGCAGCTACTTGGAAGAATAGTTCTTATTCATTTAGATGAACTTTGGAATTTTTGTTTTTGAAAAATTAGTCATGCAGGGATGGGGATGTAGCTCAGTGGAAGAACCCTTCCCTAATTTGCACAAGGCCCAGGGTTCAATCCCCAACAACGCAAAAAAGAAAAAATTAGTCATGCAACATTATAGTCACGCCTCAAAACCGTACATCAAGGAAGTAATAATTTGATCTGAATGAAAAATATTCAGGAGTCTTCAAAAATACCAAGTCTTGTCTTAGAAGAATAATTTTCATTTGCCATTAATACTGGGATTTAAATGATTACAGGGGAGACCAATATGAGTTAGTGTCCATATGTCAAATGCTGTTGTGCTTGCATGAAAGTAAAATTCAAATCCCGGCCTGCCCCATTCATAATGCATGGTGGAGAGGAAAAGCAGGTCAATTTTACCACAAGACTGGAGGCAGGTATCCATGTTGCAGTCAGGAGGGCAACCACAGTGTTTGCAAATGAAAGCTAGTGTTGCTTCTTGGCATGCAAACCTGTGTATCCCCACTCACTTATCAGGGTCAAGTTGACTTAAAATATCCTTGGGAGGGACTATGGGAAGTCAACACAGCCTTGCTAGACCATAGCTATCCACTCATCTATTTCTGTGGTCATAATAGGGAGGTTTTGGAACCCAGATAAATCCAAGTTTCCTTTTCTAGGCCTCAGAAGCAAGCATCAGACTTTATCTATAGGGATAGGCTCTGCAACCCAAAGCAGTGAGAACCCTTCTCAGAACCATCTGGCTAAGTCCCCACCTGCTTCCAAGGTACTGTTTTTGGTTCTGCAGTGGTGAAACAAGTTATCAACTTACATAACAAAGAGGGAAAGAGCAGAGGGAGAGAAATCTTTTCCATTCTAGATGTAAATTGATATCTATACACCAGTGAAAGGTTAAGAAATAGAAACAATGACATTTGATTTTCTTGCGTCTAATACTGATTAGTTAAGCGTTCAATAAATGCAAATTGCTTGTGTGCCAAATACTATCTCTTGTGTCCCACATACATTTAATCTTTGAAACAACTTCACGAAGTAGACACCATTTTCATTATTTTATAGATGAAGAAAGGAGGCTTAGAGGGCAGTTAAGTAACTTGTCCAACATGGTAGAATGTAAGAGGCAGGGACATCATTTGAAGCCAGTCTGTGTGACTCACAAACCTCCCTTATAGCCTCTCAAAAGCAGATTTAAAGACCCAAGCAAAGCAAACAATCTCACAATAGAGCTCATCTCTGAATATGTGACCTTCAGATTAGCAGCTGAACACGTTAGTGATTATAGCCACATAGAAACTTTAAAATAAACTTTTAAAAATGCAGAATTAAACCAGACTTATTAGGTTTAGGACCAATTGTCAATGCCTATTTCTGAAAGCTTTATACAAGAAACAATGCTGCCATAATCTGTAAATTCTTGGATATAAGTAAATATACCTTAGCATATTACTTTAAAATAATAAAAAGCCTTTACACACACATTGTGAAAATTACCAGTGGTTTACATGTCTTATTTTTTTAAATTCCTCCAGCAGTCCCAAGAGCCAGCCATTCTTGGCCTTATGTTACAAATGACAGTTTTGAAGCTCAGAAAAAAAGGTTAATAATTGGGACAACACATCTGGCAAATTGGGACTCAAACTCAGGCTTGCTTTTTTTTTTTTTTGTACTAGGGATTGAACTCAAGGGTGCTTAACCACTGAGCCACATCCCCAGCCCTTTTTTGTTTGAGAACAGGGTCTCACTAAGTTGCCTAGATCCTCAGTAAGTTGCTGAGGCTGGCTTTGAATTCATTATTCTCCAGCCTCAGCCTCCCAAGCTGCTGGGATTCCAGATGTGTACCACCACACCCTGCCAAACTCAAGCTTTTGGACTCAAATCATTTCTTGTCTTTTACCAAACCACTTAGCTCCCTACTAGTTTGTTTTTATTCAAAGCAAAGCATTCAAAAATTCTTAAGAGATTTTAATCTTTCTAAGAAAAGTAGATTTACTGGCCCCCAAATTTGGGCATCCATATTCATTTTTATATTTAGCATAGCTTATACCCAGGTCCTCTCCTTAAGGGAGAAGCATTGAGTAGAACCATTGTGTTAGATCTAGATGTGTATGTAAAATGTTCAGTGTAACTTGCCCACAGTCTAGTTTTCCTCTGTCTCTCACTGGGGATTGAACCCAGGGCCTAGCATGTGCTTGGTAAGAAGTCTACCACTGAGCTACACTCCCTGTCTTTTAGGTTTTTTTTTTTTTTTTTTTTTAATCTTTATTTTTACTTATTTATTCTTATGTGGTGCTCAGGATCAAACCCAGGGCCTCACACGTGCAAGATAAGCGTTCTACCATTGAGCTACAATCCCAGCCCCAGCATTTTGTTTTGAGACAGAATCTAAATTGCCCAGACTGGCCTTGAACTTGTGATCCTCCTGCCTCAGTCTCCCAAGTTGCTGCATTTGCAGGCATTCACCTCCTGGCCTGGCCCAGGTTTTTTTTTTTTTTTTTTTTGGGGGGGGGGGGTAAAGAGTTCCAGGTTTCTGAGATCAGACCTTTCAGGACTGGCTGCCAAATAAGCCAATGACTGAAGCAGAGCAATGTGATTTCTAAATGTCCCTCCTGTACAAGGTCAGTTTTACACAAATTTTTGGAAACACATAATTGTTAAGCTGCCAGGCCAATTTTAAAATACACCTTTGAATAAAGCACACCCTTTATTGGAGATTCATGGGGTCTTTTGGGGAAGTGGGAAAGAATGTGTCCTTTGTGATATCTGTATTTCTGATTGAACACCAGTAATTAGCCTTTTTTTAAAAAAATATTTTTAGTTGTTGATAGATCTTTATTTATTACTTTATATGTGGTGCTGAGAATTGAACCCAGTGCCACACACATGCTAGGCAAGCGCTCTACCACTGAGCCACAACCCCAGCCCTAACCTTTGAAGTGTGAAGTTTTTTTTGTTGTTGTCTGTTTTGTTGTTGGTGGTGATGACAATAGGAGGCAGGAAAAAATAACTCCAGGAATGTGGTTTACTTGTGGCTAACCAGGACCTGTTAATCTGGTTAATTTCTTTTTCCCATGCTCTTGAGAAAAGGCATTACTCTTGGATTCCAGATGACCAACAGGAAACTTCAAGCTTTTAAATCCAGACTGAATCTAGTGATTGGAATGAAGCAAGATTTTAAATTGTACTTGGACATCAGTTACCCCTTGTTGGTTCACCAGTGGCTATACTCATTACTTTCTGACCTGGTGCAGACATGGCTATGTGACAAAAAGATTCATTCATTCAGCAAACAAATCTTAAGTGCATTCTGTATGTCAGGCACTAGACATTAATTTTATTAACTTATTTTGAGGTACTGGGAATTGAACCCAGAGGTATACTACCAACCACTCAGTTATAGTCTTAACCTTTTTAATTTTTTTTTTTTTTTTTTTTTTAATTTTCAGACAGGATCTCACTAAGTTGCCCAGGCTAACATTGAACTTGGATCCTCCTGCCTCAGCCTCCTGAGTTACATACACGTGCCACCATACCCAGCTAGACTGATTTTAAACTGTTAGTCTCCGTGCTACTTTAACCTGAAATGGTTCATAGACAAAAGAGATTTTTGTGGGAAGGCACACAATTCAGAGAAGGTCTGATTTGAGGGAGTGTTTCAGATGAGATTAATTGCCCAAATTTCAATAAAACTGTCCAAGAACATTATGCAAGTGTTTATAATACACTTTTCATTCCAATCATTGAATCTTTTTAGAAATTCCAATGATTGTGTCACAGAAACTGATTTGTATTTGCTGATGCCGATTTGGGGATTCAGTCAATTTAGATCAGAAATCTGAAAGACTCTTGAGTTTTAGAGACTAGGTTGGCGTTCAGCTAGACTCTCCCCACTTTCATAGTTTCAGGGCAGAATCCAGAAGGTTGGAGGTTGGGTGGAATTAAAGGAAGAGATAAAAGCCCAGGGAGTTGCAGCAGCCTCTGTTAGGAATGCTCATTCTGCCAAGACTAACTTGTATACCCAGTTGCCCATGCCAAATAGTCTGAAAAGGTATCAAAAGATGAGCACCCATCTCATTAATCAGTGTGTTGGGGTCAATAAGCAGCGCCAGGATAGGTCTTTAGAAATAAATGCAGTAAATACTTGAATTTAGAATTCATTTGTAAAACTGTTAGCCTGAATTTATTAAGGCACAAAAACAACTGCTGAATCAGAGGCTTGATATTTATTGCTGGGGCAATGAATCACCTTGGAGTTCTGGGAAATTACCAAGTGCCCATGTCCTTGGGGAAAGCCATGATGTTCCACTCTTGGGGTCATCAATTACTAGAAGAGGAAAGGTTCAAGATTTGGAGAGATGGGACACAGATTTGGAAAGAAGTAAAGCAGGGAGCTATGTATTGCCTCCACAGATTGGCATGGTTGCCTGTAGAAGACCAGCTCAGTGCCCAAAGCGTGGGTGTTGATGTGGGGCAGGATGTTGGCCTCGCTGACATTGCACTTCTCCTTGCTGTAATTTCAGACCCGGATGCAGAGTCTACAGCCTGACCCAGCTGCCCGTTATCGCAATGTGTTGGAGGCCCTCAGGAGGATTATAAGAACGGAGGGCCTCTGGAGGCCCATGCGGGGGCTGAACGTCACAGCAACAGGCGCAGGCCCTGCTCACGCCCTCTATTTTGCCTGCTACGAAAAGTTGAAAAAGACATTGAGTGATATAATCCATCCAGGGGGCAATAGCCATATTGCCAATGGTATTGAGCCTTCATGTGCCGGTTCCCCCATTTTCCCAACTCTTTGCACTTTGCCGCTTCAGTGCTTTCCAGAATCAGCTTGGTTTGGAGCTGCAGCTTTGGGCTGGGGTAGGCCAGATTATAGGGGAGGGACTTCTAAACCTGATGTTCTCAGACAACGGGCTGCTGCAACCCCACCCCTCCTCTGGGGCACCTCAACAAAGGGTTACAGCATCCTCCCTTACCTACCAGCTTGACTTTTTCCTCTCATCTTCTCCCTGGCATCAACTTCTAATGCCTGGTATGGAGACACACACTGAACTACCCCTACTGTATACTTCTTGATAGTTGGGTGGTGTATTGCTCCTCAGGACGGGATTGGAGGTGGAGGTGACCCAGCTACCCAAGGAAGACACTAACGGAGTCCCAGCTCTTCGCCTCACCTTTTCAGGATCCCAGTTGACAACAGGCAGTTTGTGTCATTGAGGACACGACACAGCCTTGACAAGTGAAGGGGAGAAGGGCCAAGGGTCTGTGGAGAATCCAGAAGGTTGGAGGTTGGGTGGAATTAAAGGAAGAGATAATAGCCCAGGTTTTCAAGATTGTCTGAAAACCAAGTTGAGTGTGGAGAGGGTGGGGGATATAGTAGTTCAGGAATGAAAGAAAGGTCTGGATGGACAAATATTGGGATCTGGAGATGGGCGAGCAGCACAGGGGCAGCAGGATGGAAGGCAGGATTCTGTGGTGAAGATCTGACCACCTGGTACCACATTCTCCCTGCACTGGTGGCAGTCAATATGCTGGCATCCCTTGGCAGCAGAGGGTTTGCTTCCTAACTGGGGCATAAGCTGAGGTTTTTCTTAGGACCATCTGTATTGATAAAAACTGGGCTGTTTTTGCCTCTTCTGAGATAGATGTGGAATGTACATTGATGACCTTTCCTAAGTTCGTGGGAACAAATATCTTTCTTTGTTGAAGCTGAAGTTTAGGAGCAGCGGGTGCCCTTTTGGACTGGCTCCTAACATTCCCTTTCCTCACTGCTTTAGCACAGCCACTCGCCTTCACTTGGGCCTCAGTGAATTGGTCAGCCTCTCCTGGCCTTAAATGTGGCAGTTGTTCTCTAATTTGCAGGTGCAGCCGGGTGTGTGGCAACATTACTTCATGATGCAGCCATGAATCCGGTGGAAGGTAATGATTCTTCAACCTATCTCTCTGGGTAGCTGCAGCTGCCTGTCTGGGTTTTTCCTTTATTTCTGTTTGCAGAAAAAAAGCAAAAGAGCATTTCAGTTTTGGTGGGAAATCCTCCCATGTTACTTTATTTTACCACCAGAGGGCGCTAACTCCATATTTTTAGGAAACATTCATTGAGATTTAATCCATCTTTGGGGCTTCCCTGCAGAAGAGATACCTCTCTATATGCTTATCCCTGGGCTTTTCTGGAAGTCCCTTTTGTAGTAAATTTGATCTCTTCTGAAAGTTTAGCAGATTATTTAATTTTTCTTCAAAGAGGTGAAGATGGATTCTGACATTTAAAATTCTTACCTTTCTTCTTGGAAGGAAGAACATAGTTGAGATAGGAATGAAAGATTAAATTGTAGAGCTCAGTCTCTGCATTTCTACCTGGCTCTTGGCTTCTCAGTTTGAGGGAAATTCTCCAAAAACTGTGCACTGAGAGCAAGAGATAATTAGACAAATAAGAGAGGATAGCATAGTTCCAGTTCTTTGTCTGGACAAGGCCATGCGTGGGTAAGGGCCAAACCTAAGCTGGAGACTGACAGAACTCATACCATGTTGTCCACTTGAGGAAGTGGAAGATGTCTGGAAACTAAATCCTGACTCTTTTTGGCTAAGAATCTTGTTTTCTTTTTGGTAGTACTTTTCCTTCCTCCCCTCAGGGAGAGTAACCATCTTCATGTTTAAAGAGTAAGATGCTCCTCATACCTGAGGATTAGGATTGTTGGTGTTCTGTGTTCATCATTACATCACTGCCACTGAGTCGTTCCTTGCTAGACTTGTGAAAGGTCAAGATTCTGATAGATACATACCCATTCCAAGGAGACCCTCTAGAGGTATTAAGCCATAGATATATCCTGTGTTCTAACTGGCTGGTTTTAAAGAAATCCTGCTGGGAGTGGGCCCATTATTTTTTGACGCTTTGCCTACCTCCTGGCCTCAAGAGGGAAACATGAACTTATCCTGTTAACTGGTAGTTAGTTCATTTATACTGTCTTCTCTCTCCATTCCATTGGCTGATCTGCTGATTTGGAACCCTGAATCTGGATACTCTCGGTCACCGGCTGTTTGCTGTCTCCATTTTACTCCTTGTTGATGGCACTCCCAGTGGTCAAGCAGAGGATGCAGATGTACAACTCACCATACCACCGGGTGACAGACTGTGTACGGGCAGTGTGGCAAAATGAAGGGGCTGGAGCCTTTTACCGCAGCTACACCACCCAGCTAGCCATGAACGTTCCCTTCCAAGCCATCCACTTCATGACCTATGAATTCCTGCAGGAGCACTTTAACCCCCAGAGACGGTACAACCCCAGCTCCCATGTCCTTTCCGGAGCCTGTGCAGGAGCTGTAGCTGCCGCTGCCACAACCCCACTGGACGTTTGCAAAACACTGCTCAACACCCAGGAATCCCTGGCTTTGAACTCAAACATTACAGGACATATCACAGGCATGGCTAGTGCCTTCAGGACGGTATATCAAGTAGGCGGGGTGACCGCATACTTCCGAGGGGTGCAGGCACGAGTAATTTACCAGATCCCCTCCACGGCCATCGCATGGTCTGTGTATGAGTTCTTCAAATACCTGATCACTAAACGGCAAGAAGAGTGGAGAGCCGGCAAGTGAAGGAGCACTGTGTGCAGCCAGGGGTAGACAGCACTGCTGCGGCCTGCCCCCTCCAGCCGTGTTCTGCCTCCTGGCACACTCCAGCCTTGAGTGGAGTTGGGAGGAAGGGAGAGGGCTCTCCCTGGGCTCTCAGTGTTGTGGCTAACACCAGTTCCCGCCAGCCTTGTTGCCTCACCACCTCTCCTCCCAGGCCTTGGGCGAGGGGTGCAGCAGAGCACCCCTCAGCACTTCTGTCAACCTCCGTCATGGGCCTGGTGACCCGCTCTAGACTGTTATAGAGGGCTAAGCAGCACATTCCCCTGGTTCCTAATAAAAAGCCTTTAAATGAAATGGTTTTGTTGGGTTTGTCTTGTCAAAGGGGAAGTGAAATGCTGTCAGCTGTTCTTTACTTGGCTTGAAGCATAAATCAGGGAACCCAAAAGGTTTACTGAAGATGGCTGTAAGTTTTTGTTTCTGCTGACGTTCATGATGGTTTCAGTCTCCCCATCACCTTGAACACTGGGCCTTTAACAGACCCTAACTCGGCATGAGTTGCCTCGTGTTCCCACCAGTGCCTCTTCCCTTGGGCAGCAGTGGGCACAGCAGAGTCGATTTTTCTCCAATTCTGAGCTCTGCCTGAGCAGTGGAACTTTGCACTCAGCCCTTTGTTTTCTGATGTAGTTTTGAAATTAAAATTATTCAGTGAAACTGCAAGTCCTGAAGATTGTGTGAGCAATAACACATTTTGTTTGACTTTAAGGTTTTTACCAAGTACTTGAACACATGTGATCACATCTGGTTCTCACGAATTAGTGAAGCAGGTGGTGCAATTGTCATGTCTGCATTATGGGATGGAAGCGCAGAAAAGCTGTGACTTCCCTGAGACCTCACAGTAAGTGTAGAATAGAGGCCCCAGCCCATTTTTTTTTTTTTGCCCCAGAATTGAACCCAACTGTGGAAGACAGGAAGTGAGCTGAGGCGTGATCCCCCAACATGCAGGTTACTGAAGGAAGTTTTTTGTTGATGTCCACCAGGGCTTTTCCTGGAGACCTTCAGAGGTGGGGCTTTCACAGTTATGTGGGTCAGGCTGTCCCTTTTCTAGTTACTAGCAAGTTCTTCAGGACACAGAACAGGCATCTAGCCCCTGAAATTCCCACCTATCCTCCTTGTTATGTCATCTGCTCACTCATTCAGTAACTACTGAGGGTCTCTGGGTCAGGTACTAGAGTTGGGGATACAATGATAAATAAAGCAATCCTGGCCCTCAGGGAGCTTATTGTCTGGAGAGAAAGATACATGTAAACAGGCAGTTGTAAGATCAAACTATGAGACAAATGATGGGATAGACCTAGGATACACTTAGAGGGGGATACCAACCCAGCCTTGGGTGACAGCTTTTGGAAGAGGTGACATCTCTGGTCACATCCAATGGGATGAAGAGGGGAGGAGAGATATTCTAGTAAACGACCTGGAAGTGGGACTGTAAAGTGTTCGCGGTCCTGTGGGCAAGTGGTTCAGTAGGACTGAAACAATGTGGGTAAGGCTTGCAGCTAGACAGCTAAGCAGGTGCTGGGTCTTAAAGCAATGCTAAGGAGTTCAGAGTTTATCCTGAAAGCGATGCAGAAGCATTACAGGGATTTAAGCAGAGGCAGGGTGTGATCAGATTTGCCATTTAAACAGATCACTTAGGCTCTCTGGAGAAAGGATTAGAGGAGCAAGACTGGGCAGGCAGGTTAAGAGGCTGCTGCACTAATCCAGGCAACTGCATGGTGGTCTGGGCCAGGACTGGCAAGAAGACTGGAACCGTGTTAGGGTTGTAGGAGCAATAGGATTTGGTTACAGAATAAATCTTGTCCTCCTTCCATCTGACAGCCCTTCAAGTATCTATGGAGAATCATGTCTGAAAGCACTTGAAAAAAAAAAAAAAAACTGTCAAGGAAACTGCAGAAACTCCTGTTCTCAACTTTATTCCAGTAAGCTAGGCTGCCCATCTGATTTGGTGATGGAAAGGAAAGACGTTAATAGTGTTGAACGGTGATACTGGAGTTTGGGTCCCTGTGGAGAAAAAAAAGTGTGATACCACTGTAGAGGCAATTTCAGAGGGTCTGCAAGTAAAAAATGTAAGTGGGAAGCTGCCTCCGGGTGGGTGTGGACTAGGCAGGAGAACAAAGGATGATTCTCTAGACCATGTTCTTGCAGTTGACTTCACAGAACTACTGTTTGGCATGGTATCCAGCACAAAATAGGCATCATGGCAATAAAGCTCATTTTTCAAGAGGAGGATGTGGAGAAATTTTTTTTTTTTTTGTACTAGGGATTAAACCCAGGGGCACTGAATCAATAAGCCACATCCCCAGCCCTTTTTGTATTTTATTTAGAGACAGGGTCTCACTGAGTTGCTTAGGGCCTCGCTACATTGCTAAGGGTAGCTTTGAACTTGAGATCCTCCTGCCTCAGCTTCCCGAGCCTTTGTGATTACAGGCATGTGCCACTATACCTAGCATGGGGTAATTTTTGAAAGAATGGTAGCTGTTGAAGACTCCCTCAGGCTCTGCACAGTAGTTCACACCTGTAATCCCAGCAACTCAGGAAGCTGAGGCAGGAGGATCTTATAAATTCAAGGTCAGTCCCCACAATTTAGCAAGGCCCTATGCGACTTAGTGAGAATCCAGAGTGATCTTCCAACCTCCAATTATGCTCTAGCTACCAGAGGACATCTAGTTTGGAATGGGGGTGAGGTAGGAGGAGGCATTAGGTTCTGCAGGTCTCTTGGTCCAAGTCATTAGAGGAGATAGATGCAGAATACTTGACAGGGCTGCAGTCTAGAGTGCCAGTGACTAGATACCTGGGTCACTCTATGGGGGCTCATCATACCCAGGAGAGCTGTGGGTGTTTGGTGGCCTCCTAGAGCCAGAGCCTTTCCAGAAAGCCAGGTAGCTTGTTGTTCCCTTGAGGATCCAGTACCAAGATATCATTAAAGGGCCAATTTAAAGAAAATGAGAAAATAACTTACAGTTTCCCCAGAGAAAGCTCTTTTTAGTGAATAAAACAATCTCATAACACCACAAGTCAGTATCTGGCTATACGCTGGATTATACAGAAACAACAATGAATTTTAGAGACAGAAAAGGAAAAGTATAGATCAGATGAACAGAGAAGAGGGTGATTTTGATGAATAGCAGAATAAAAAGTACTTTTGCGAAAGTAAAGTTGAATCATGTTAATTTTACAAAATTTCAGAAAATATAGATGAAAAGAAAACACTTCCAACCCCATCACCCAGAGAATATGACTTTTTTTTTTTTTTTTTTGCAGATTGCAGATTTTTTTTTTTTTTTTGAGATTGAACCCAGGAACTTGTACACATTAGACAAGTGCTCTGAGACATATCCTCAGCCTAGACAGGACATTTTTGATGTACACATCATCTGGTATTTTTATGCATAAATACTTTCTGTTAATTTTCAAAAATAAGATCTCACTGTAACCTGCTTTCTTCACATAATAAACTGTGGTGTTCATCTTTCCATATTGCTAAATTTCCTTCCACCACTTTAATTGTAAATGGCCATACCACATCCCATGATATGAATGTTCGATGATACATTATTCTCTCAAGTCCCCTGGTGCACCTTTATAATAATTTATTATCAGAAACATTGCTGTGGTAGGTAGGATCTGAATAATCAAAGAGTATTAAATTTAGACAAAAGGTTCAGAGTAGGGAGATGATTTGGCTGAAGAGATCTTACCTGAGACCAGGATACAGGTAACAGGTTGGTGGGGCTGAGCCTGGCCAATGAGAATGTCAGGGCTGGGAGACACCTTAAATGTCATCTGGCTTCCCATGCTTTCTGGAGCCCTGCTTCGATTCTATAGCAACGCTGACAGGTTCACCAGCCCCTGCTCCAGCGTTTGGGAACCCACTGTTATGTAAGGCCATCCACATCATTGCTACCATCTCTTAGAAAGTCCATGGAGTCCTGCTTTACTCGGGGATCATGCCACTAGCCTGCTTCTGTTGCCTTGGGGAAAAGAGCCAAATTCTTCATCATGGCCCAAAGGACTTTATATAAGGAGGCCGTAGCCTCTCCAACCCCAACCTGCCACCTAATGGTGAGGCATTAAACACAAACACCTATTTTCTCCAAGATCAAAGTCCTTCCTTCTGTTATCTTCATTCATTAATTTAGGAGACTTGCTAGGTCTGTCTAAACTGTCAGAAACTTCACACAAGACGTTTAGACTGGTCGTGCATTATCGTGCTATTTCCTGCTACTTTAGACTGTTCATGGAGAACACATCTCACAGGAGCTGTACAGTATTTCAAGCATTGTCAGAGCCCCATAAACACAACCTGACACCCCCATCACCATCACCACCCCTGCCACCCACCTTCACTTCACACACTTAAAATCAAGGAGAATGTTTCTTTATAAATTGAGGCACTTAAGTGTGTCTGTAATTTCCATCTCTGATGGCACCTTCTGCCTGCCAGGGCAGTGCAGAAGCAGAGTAATCCTTCTTCTCTCTGACAGCCCTTCAAAAATATTAAGATGGCTGTCATGTCCCTAGGGAGGGGTCAGAGCACAGAGCACAGACAGAGGAGTTTAGACTTGACTTGGCAACTCATGAGAGCTCTCGTGGTTCCTGAGCAGGGAGAGACTTAATGTCTGAGGATGATTCAACCTATAGCCCAGACACAGGACAGTCGGAGACATTTACTCGTCTGAGGGGCTATTGTCAACATCAAGACAAAGATGAACCTGAGAAAAAAATGTTACAAGATGAAAGTCACTTGCTGATTTAGACACTCATGTGGGAAGATACCAGTTAGTTATCTAGCACTCATCTGGCTGTGTTTTGCCTTCTTGGTTAGACTGGGGCCCAGAATCCTGCCTTTCTGGTATGACCTTCAGATGGAATGGTCACAGTCTGGTATGATCACAGTCCTCACAACAGGTGCCGATAACTACTTTCTCACCATGGACTGGTTGTGGCCAGACACCAAGATTTGTCTGTGAAAATGATGATACTGAGCTAGGCATGAGCCATATCACTTCACAAACATGTATTGAACAGAGACGGCCATTGGGGTAAATGCTGGGCCTATGTCAATTTTATATGTTAACATGGAGAGGCTATTGTGAGGCTCTTGTCTCCAGTTATTCAAACACAATCTAGGTGTCGTTGTCACTTTGATGATGATGAAACCCAAAGCAGAAATGAGGGACACCTAAACAAGGACAGCGAGGATAAGAGGAGGAAGAGAGAGAGTGGAGGGATATTTAGGAGATAGAATCAACCAAACTTGAAAGTCAGATGTATTCAGGGTGATAGAGAAGTAGGTT